AGTCAGTCAGTGAGTCCTGGAGCTACCGCCGAGTTAGCCAGCAACTAGTCAGTTGTATTCTGGCATTTGGAGTGTACTAATTGTGATACTGCAGATAGCAGTAACCGTAAATCTGTAATTTGGGTGATTGTAAGTGCGAATGTGAAATAAAATTCGCTATACAAAATACGGCGTGAAGTTATTTGTCGTGATATACGCCCGATACGTGACAGTACCTTCACTTTGAAAGCTGATATCCAGTCTACTCTATATGAGTTTATTGCCATTAAATTAATTCCTTTATCTCAGCATTTCTCAACTTGTGGTCCGCGATGAAGGGATAGCTGGTCCGCAAGCAGACGTAAATTAAATTAAGTTAAAAATTATGCAACCAAAACAAATTAAGATTAAATAAGCAAATAAAAATTAATTATATCATGTTCTTTATTTGTTTAATAAAGCTTAAAACTTTGTTCAATGATGATTCACTTTTTTATTTTAATTCCAGTTTAATTAATTATGTTTCCATATGTATTCAAAACATGCTTTTAGATTTATTATGTTATAAATGGCACAGTATGTCCCAAATGTTGGTGATACGACACAGGTTTAAAACATAGGCCTACATAACTTAGTGGTCTGTAGAATTTTTTCAGACTTTTTACTGGTCCTTGGGGTTAAAGAGATTGAGAAACACTGCTTTATCTGATTGCTGTTGCCGCTGTGGTTTTCTCTAGGCACTTGCATCTGAATTTTAACATTAGTGCTTTTCTTCTGTTTCCTTTATGTTCTGTTCATTTTATCGAATAGAATAGCAAAGGACAGTGTTGTTATTATTATTATTATTCGGAGGGGGTGGGTTACTCCATGCACTGCGACCATTTATTGATCTATTGTGCATCCCCCTTTTTAATTATTCTAACTAGTCGCCATGCCCTTCCAGTACTGGTGCTTGCTATCAGCCCCTTTCTGCCAGCGAGGTCGGCCCTCTCTGGTAGTGGTCCCTGATACTTCCCCATCTACTGCAGGAATTGGAAACTACTTGGGCGGGAAACTGCCTAATTTTGCTCAGAGGTGTTATATATGTGAAGGTTTAGTGTGATGGATTGATCAGCATTTGTGATGTTCTGACTGTTTATATAAAATCTGATCTTGTAAACTCGATCACAAATATGTTGCATGGTGATTCTGTTTTGTTGAAATTGTTCTTAAATGTAATTTATAAAGCAACCAGATATGTTTGTATAGGAATGAAAATCATGTAACATAATTAAAATGTTATTCACTTCACATTTCCTTCATTAACATTTCAGCATTTTACACATGTGCATTTGTAGTGGTAAGAGATAAAGTGTCTTGAAATTCTTTATTTCTTTCACTGTCTGTTGTTCATGCAGGGACAATGCTGCTGTGCAGGCTCCCGTACTTTTGTTGAAGACAGTATCTATGATAACTTTGTAGAGAGAAGTGCTGCTCTAGCTAAGACTAGAACGATTGGCAACCCATTTGACCACTCAGTAGAACAAGGGCCACAGGTGAGGACAGTGAAGGAACAATTTCTACCTCTTTTATGAAAGACAAGTCCATACAGAATCATGTCTTAGGCAACAATTACTGTAGTTGAAATGTATCATTGTTTGCTTGCATACACTTTATTTTCTGGACCACAAGATGTACTTTTGGCCAAGAATTATGCATAACAATTAGTGGTACATAGTCAAAACATATAAAACTGAGAAGGTGACCTATGATATTGCTGATGCTGTTTAGCATAAACTGGTCTTTCTCAGAATGGTCTCCATTTTTTGGAGAGGTTTGCTGAGCCCAGTTGAGAACTATGCTGCAATATTTTGAAGACTTGGGGCATCTGTTAAGCATCATTTGGCACCAAGTCTCCACACTCTTCTGGACTAGTTTCCAGTAGTGAGAGAATAAGAGTGAGTTGCGGTTATCTTCAGATCAGTATTTACTAGCACGTTTCAGATTTACACACCGAGAGGTAGTTGCTGTATTTATTTAAATAATTTGTGTGCAGTGTACAAAAGAAATCATGTGTGAAAGTTGTGGTGTTTAAATGTCCTAATGATATTTTCCATACCATAATTTACATGTTAGGTTAATGCAGTTACAGTTCAGTGACTGTGGAAACACAGTATGGATATGTGCACCTGTGGGCTAAACCACGTTTCCTTGGTGAACGCTGAGGTGAAGATGTCCCTTCATAAAATCTCATTCAAATTTAAATGTCATGTGGCAGTGTGATATGGGTATTTGCACCTATGGATTCCATGCATAACGAGGAGCTTCATAACTTGTACTCTTCTCCATGTATAATTAGAATGATCGCATCAAGGAGGATGAGGTGAGTAGGGCATGTAGCACGAATGGGGGAGATGAATGCGTATAGGATATTGTTGGGAAAGCCAGAAGGAAAGAGACCACTGGGAAGACCAAGGCATAGGTAGGCGGACTATATTAAAATGGATCTTAGAGAGACAGGATGGGATGGTATGGATTGGATTGATTTGGCTCAGGATAGAGACCAGTGGAGGGCTCATGTGAACACAGTAATGAATCTTCGGGTTCCATAAAATGCTGGGAAATTCTTGAGTAGCTGCAGAATTGGTGGTTCCTCCAGAAGGGCTCAGCTCCATGGGTAAGAAGTAAGTATGGATTCCATGTAATTCTCTGATGAACACTGAAATGAAACTTCCCTATGATATTCTGAGCAACACATATTTTTTTAATTGAAAGCATGATTCATGTTACTCATGACATGTTGCCATCAGACATTTAACTTTATTTGCATTTTTGTGTGGGGGCATGTAGTAGTGTGGTTATGTGAGGCACTATGTCACAAACTGGAAGGTCGTAGGTTTGATTCTCAATGAGGTCGTTGGAATTTTTCAATTGACCTAATCCTTCCAGCCGCACTATGGCCCTGGGATCGACTCAGCCTTTAACAGAAAGTGTACCAGGAATCTTCCTCAGGGATAAAGGGTAGTGGGCATGTAAGGCTGACAACCTTATTGCCACCTCTAAGCTGACTGTCTAGAAAACGTGGGAGCCTCGACGTCTCACAGTTTCTTGCCTAACATTATGGGTGGCATAGTTATGTGAATAAATACAGTAATTTATAATGTATATATTTGAACTCCTAATGCAATGGGTTAAAAGCAGAAGAGGTTTTTATACATAAATTGTACATGAGAAAGTATGTGAAAGAATGTGTTAAGATGGCAGCAAATAACTGTTAGGCCTTCCCAGCCAAGAGAATTGCATATTAATTGAGGAATTCATATTTTTTTGTGCTGCTGTGTTTTGTTTTGTAATACATATGGACCCAGAATATATACAGTGAACATTCTTCTTCTAAAAGTTGAGTGTTTAATGGCATGAAAAATAAATGTGTAAAACAGCATCACAGTTGTATAATTTTCTACAAACAGATTTATAACCATAGAAAATTTTCATGAGATTAAGTACAGTAGAGGTGTAACCTGTTTTATATAATCAGAACTAGTGAGAAACAAAACATGTTCAGCTTGTTCTGGTAAGACTGTATTTAACCATCTTGTACAAACATGTTTGTAAATATGCTAGGAGATGTTCATCTTTGGTAGTCTGCTGTTGTCCTTGGAGATTTCTGTTTTTTTAACACATCTTGGACCACGCATGCATTAATACATATTTCGTTTTTAAACGTGGCGGACCAGTCGCGTGTTAATATGTTTTTAGAACTTGATAAGTTGTGACACACTATACATCACTCTGGCACCACCCAGCTTGCACGCAGCTGCCCGGAATGTTTGCTGACTAATCAGTTATGTGACCTCGCTGTAACTGTATGCCCCTGCAAAGGAAAATAAATGCCTTTATTTCTTCGAGCTGTACGTAGCAAGCTGTCAGTGAGTAGTGCAATATGGATCAAGGACGAAAGCGGTTGAAACCCGCTCCAACACCATGAACATCATGACAGAAGTTATAAGGTGTTCAAGTGGGTGGATGTCACTTCAGCAGAAATGAGAAAATTTTTTGCAATAATCTTTCTAATGGGCCATACAAGGAGGAATAATCTGAAAGAGTATTGGTCAGCAGATCCATTTTTAGAAATTCCCATTTTCGGCAAACTAATGAGCCGTAAATGATTTGAGCAAATTTGGTGGTGTTTGCATTTCAATGATAATGAATTGCAACCACAATCAACATGCAGGCTTTTCAAAATTCAGCCCTTATTGACCTTTTTCGTTAAGAAATTTCAGACAGTTTACACATCAAACCAACAACTGTCTTTAGACGAATCTCTGATTCCTTGGAGGGGAAGGCTTCCTATGTGAGCATATAATCCTGGGAAACTTACAAAGTATGGCCTACTTGTTCGTGTAGTTACTGAAAGCACTTCAGGCTATATTGGAAACGTAGAAATTTATTCTGGTGAAGGAAAGAAATTACAAGAAGCTATTCTTTCCGTTTTTGAACCCTATCTTGATCAAAATTACCATGTCTATCAAGACAATTATTATAACAGTGTGACAACTGCAGAACACCTACTTTCGAGGAAAGTATGTGTTTGTGGAACAGTTAGGGTGAACAGAGGCCTTCCTCCAGATCTGAAAGAGGAATGTAAATCCTGAAACGTGGTGAAACCACATTCAGGAGGAAGGGGGATATTCTTCTTCAGTTCTGGAGGGATACTCGTGTTGAGAATATGATTTCCACAATTCACAGTTCGAGCATGGTTGATGTTCAAAGAAGACATGGACAGATAAAGAAGCCTGTTTGTATTTGTGAGTGTAATATGTTCATTAAGGGAGTTGATAGAGCCGATCAGTACTTGGCCTATTATTCTCTTCCTCGGAAAACAGTAAAGTGGACAAAGAAAGTTGCCTTGTGGCTTATAAATTGTGCCATTTCAATTAATTTTTGGTTTTCAAAAATCTAAACCCTCATTCAAAATTGAAATACAAGGCAATTCTGCTGAATATGGCAAAAGCCTGGGCTACAGACCACACGGTGGCGGCAGAACTGGTGGGAGACAGTCTTAGTGCGACCGGGCCCGTCTATTCCCACCCCACACAGGCCTGATTTTGACCCCCCTGAGCAACTCTCGGGTGATATGCGGAAACATACCCTCACGAAAATTTTGAAGAGTGAACATTTCAAGGGGAAGCATCCTTCTAGGCAATGCCGTGTTTACGCAGTTCACAAGAAAATGAGTACGACTCTACATTTGTAAGTTTTGTGTAATGCCACCTCACAGAGGGGAATGTTTTGAGAAGTATCACACCCTCAAGCACTTCTAGGAGCATTGGTAAGTGTTCTAAAAATTTTTTAGTTCATAAAATTAATTAGGAGATTTTATATTAATTTTTAAAGTGAACAGTGCACAAGTTAGGGTACTGGGTTTAAAAATGCCGGTCCCCAGGGTGATTTAAATATTTAAATTGCCGGTCCGCAAAGTGTTAAGTCTATGTGCCATAGAATCAGTCAGCTAAAGGTTCAATTTTATTGTGTCCTTGAATTTATAGTTTTTGTTCCTGAGTGTTGTGATATGTTGATTTTTTTTTGCTCTGACTGTAGATATTAAAGATATATTAAAGTGGGACACTTTGTAAGTGATTTGCTTTGATTGGTAATGTGTGCAGGTGGATGAGGAACAGATGACCAAGATTCTTCATTTGATTGACTCTGGGAAAAAGCAAGGAGCTAAGCTAGTGGCTGGAGGCAGTCGCCATGGAGATAAAGGGTACTTTGTCCAGCCCACAGTGTTTGCCGATGTTAAGGATGACATGACCATAGCTAAAGAGGAGGCAAGAAATACACATAGAGTGAATTCCATTAAGTTATTTTCACATATATTGCATGAAATTCTGATGCAAGCCCATTTTGCTGAAATATGTGCATGAATGGAGTGGCGTAAAATTACATATGGGCAATTGTAATTAGAATGGAAGCCTAAACTGAACCTGTTGACCACTGTACAAGGTAAAAGTTTACACATTGCTGAAAGGATGCAGATATTAACAAATGTTAAGTATTCATGAGATTGAAAAATATTCATCTCATATTTTTATTTGTTTTGAGGTTAATGTCAGTTTTATTTGTATTTTTTCCCTTATCCTCCTGCATCATCATCATCATCATCAGATTTTCTAACTTTTCAGTGAATTTAGATTTTGAATGAAATGTGGAGAATGTTTATTTTATGCCCTCTAAGTCAGAAACTGTACATAAATTTTGGTTCAGACCGAAGAACTATACTTTCAGTAATTATGCCAGTCCAAGAATTATAACTGAAATTCTTAAATAAAGCTATACAATCCCACTTAAAGAAAATGGTTAATGATAAATAAAGAATATGTGTTTGTTGCTTACAACTGTTGTACATTTACTCATAACTATTCTCATTTATAACATTTAATATTCTCACCGTCTTCTAGTGCATACACTTATCTACCTCACTCCTCTCTCTCGCACTACATGTTACGGCACAAAAGTGCCATCTTCAGGTGCTTATTCGATTAACGTTAAACTAGTTCACTGCATGCCTTGTCGTCTTCATATTAAAATAATTAAAATATATATTTATCATATATATTGATAAATATTAAATATTAAAAATATTAAAATTGTTCAGGATTTTTCCTACGTCGTATCT